TCTTGAAAATAGTTTCAAAATGCAACCTGAGAAACCCAATGAATTTTGCCATTATATTTTTGCCATTATAAGCAGCTTGAATTGTCCTCACCATACTCTACACTGAAGAGTTGAATCATTAGTTAAAGACTGTCCTGAAAACATTTAAGTGATAAGCGCATTGACTTATTATCCTAACTATTATGAAGGGCGATATCTGAACTGTTACTGATGGCTTTCAATTGCTTCTTACTTACAATGTTTTATACTCAGAGCTGCTGATTACTGGAATTCTGGGAGCAGACATGTTATATAGATATCTAAATCTCTCAGGTTCTACTGCAGTGACAATGGATTAAAAACTCTAGGCCTTGGGACTCTCCATTAGTAAAGCCGCAGGCAGAACGTTACAGAGAGGGGAGGTGAAACGTCTTTGTACCTGTTCAGTTTGCCTTGAACCAGCTTTTCAACTTGGTGACAAAGACCATCTGTAAAGTACCAGTAAGTAAACCAAAATAATTACTTTTAATAATACTTGCATTTGATATAGCGCCTTATCATGACGTTGAAATGTCTCAAATCACTTCACAGGATATTATTGTAAAGTGGATTGACTATATATTTAGACGAAATGCGGCAGCCACTTATGCAAATCAATGTCCCACAAGCAGCCATGGAGTGAGTGACCAATTTTTTTTATTTTGGGGGATTGTTGGCCAGGAAACCAGGAGATAAACTCCCTTCTCTACTCGAATAACGCAATGTTCACAGAACGCTTCCTTACAAATATTTAAGTGTCAGAACGACTGAAATCTGCAACTTAGGCCATTGTTCTTTAATATTATAATGAAAATGTATACAAAATATCACTGCAATAAGAGGCATTATTATTATGTTTGTATAATCACAGAAGCAATGTATTGGATTGAGATTTGTGTCACCCTCACCTCCAATACTCCAGGATTTGGCAAGCAGAGTGCAATCCCTCCAGAGTGTGTGCACTCCATTCCAGATATGGGGTAATTTCCTTGTGTCGATGGCAGTGAGATGTTTCTGCATTGCCTCAGACACCCGGCTGACTAAAAAAATCAGTGAAAATACAAAAGATGCGAAATGTGAGAAAGTTCAAATATAGTCATATGTTTAATGGGGTAAATTCCTTACTTTCACACCATTCATGGTCTTCTAGATCGTATGCAAGTGGGTATAATGCCTTATAAGAGCAAAGAAACTATCAAACCTTATCAGCACTACATCAGATACACTGTCAGCTCCATTGCACAAATGTAGAATGACACATTAAAGAGCCTGTCTCATCAGCAAGACCCAGTTTGAGATTGCACTGCTTACTGAAAACTGTTATCTATATAAACAGCCTTTTGTTTTGTTCCATTCATTTCTGGTATAATTTTGTGTAATTGGTGAGTACGGATAATAGTGTCGAGAAGAAAGCTTAATTATCTATTGTAGAGATGCAGCCAACGAGACAGGGAAGCTTTAGTATCTACTGAGTGTGAGTGTATTCATTTAGCATACTCCACGAAGTTAGGCTAAGAGTAACATTTCTGTTTGATAATCCCAATGATTTCCTTAAAGTTTGGTTTATTAAAAAAATCAAAAAGGTTGAATTGATATGTATAGAACAAAGGAACGTTAAAAGCAATTATTTTGGAAATGTTTGTTTCAAAGAGATCTTGAAGCTAAGTGCTGGCATTTCACAGGAATTCTAATAATGCAACAGCCAATTGCTATTGCCATTCCTGTTGAAAAGTAGAGACTCAACTGATACAAGACATATATACAAATTACATTTGGATAGCGCCTTCCACATCAATAGTTCATCCCAAGGTGCTGGACAGTCAGGGATCCACACCCAAGCTGATGGTTGGGATCAGGAGGCGTGGAGGGCAGGGGTAGGAGGGTGACCGAAGGCACAGTCAAAGAGGGTCTTGAAGGAGGCAAAGGAAGGGGCGAGGCGGAGGGACTGTGTGGTGGAGTTCCAGAGTGGTGGCTGTAGGCCTGCCTGTCAGCAGAGGGAGTGGACAGGTTGGTAGGGGGTTAGGACCTACACCTTTGTTACTTTTTTCGTCAGGCCAGAGTGTGAATGAACACTTGTTTATTTATGTGCAAGTACAGCAGCCAATTTATGCACAACGTCCCACAAGCAGCCGCAAAGTGAATAAATAAGTTTTTTTTTTAAATCACACTAAAGAGTTTGAAAATGAGGATGATGTTTTTTCACCTACAATATAGTCAATCCACTTCACAACATATACTGTGAACCATTTTGAGACATCTCAACGACATAAGCACTGTATCAAATGGCAGGTTTATTTATTATTATAAATACACCGACTCCCAGAAAGCCACAGACACAGAAGCAATTTGAGGTGTTTTAATCGGCAGATAGATAGGTACCTTGAATATAAGTGTATTAAGGGAGAAGTGCCACAAATTGATAATATAGAACTAACCCAGTGGACTAAATGGCCAACTGTGGTTCCTACACTTCCACCAATTTGCTGCCTTTATGTACTTATACAAATTCTTATGGGGGTAAAAACAGTTGAATAAATGTTTGTCTTCAGTGGGATTCATATGCATAATGTATTGAAATGAATTTTCGAACACTGATTAATTTCCTCTCGTCAGTTCCCAGACCTGTCTCAATTAATGTGTCGAAGAGAATATTTTAATATTTTTCTCACTCGGTCTAAATTTCAGTCTCCATGATAATACATTTCATAATCAGCACTTTAAAAAGCAACCGAGATGGGAAGAGATACCAGTGGGTAGCAGTAATGCCACCTGTTAGCGAAAAAAAAGTCAGGGAGCTTGACATTTAAATCTGCATGAAACGTTATTGAAATGCCTGGTTGGTGAGTTTCTCTTCAATGTGAGCTAATCAGATTTTCAAAATGGAAACGAACACCATCTGAGCAGAGATGAACATAAATATTCCTTGCAATTGTTATAGCACCTTATCATATCAGCAAACGTCTCTAAGAGCTTCACAGGATTTACTGCAGAGTGTGGTGACTGTAGGCGCGTAAAAAGGTTGCTTGCGTTTCAGACCTTCAATAAGAAAATCTCACTAGAAAGGGCATGTAAATGGAACTGTAGGGTTGCTCTCGAGAGATCTAGCAGACACAAATGTGTATGGTGGTACTGCAAGTGTGCCACCAGGTTTGATTCCATCTCCAGCTTCCCCAAACCAGTTAAAAATGTGTAGTTTCCATCCTCCTTTTGTGATGAGAAAAACATGGTGAACATTCAGGGAAATCACAAGGATCAAATCATATGCTGCCAGTTGCTGGAAGATTCTCGCTCATGCACTCTCTCTCTCGCTCTCCCCTGAGCTTTGTATCAACTTGAGACCAGCTACAAATCATGCAGAAGCATGTCATGTCAAGAGAAACGTTTTCTTGTGCAAAGTCCTTTAACATAGCTCTCCACTCTCGGTGCTGGTGTCCGTCGTTTTACAGGACTACAAGATTCTGTTGCCAATGGCTAGAAATATTGGGAGTGCAATTGGTCATGATGCCCTGATGTCTAACTTGTTGATAGACAAGGTGACTTTTCAAGACAATATGGCATGGGGTGATACTTACCCTCCAGATAAGCTCCCCAGACATTGGAGGAGCCAGCAAATTCATTTCCAGCTATTGCCCAGTTTTATCCAGCATTGAAAAAAACACCAGATCATGTCCTGACATGAGACTGAATGCTTACATTATCACCAAGCTGCAGAGGTCTTGTAAACAGCTTTGTAACCTTCAAAAGGTAGTCATCAGTGCTAAATCTTGTCAGAAGACTTAACCTGAGGACTCGGTTATCTGAATCTTTTGAGATGAATTTGATGCCTTCCAACTGTTCGAGTCAGAGCATTGGGAATTCAACAAATCTATAGCACAGCAAAACACCCAGAACCAGAAAATTTCCCTCACCGAGGAATCTTAAATTTAATAACCTCTAAACCCAGATTATTAGGTTCTCGTACCATTCCCCTGCATCTTGCTCTACCTCTAAATACAAGGGGAGGGAGGATTTCACGACTGAGGGTTTGAAAGGTGCAATCCAGTTAACCATTAACTTCAAAAACTTGATTTATATAGCGCCCTTCACGCTGGACAGCGACTTGGAGTTTAAACTTCAATAGAACTGTTCTACAATTTGCAGTCCTAATTACTCTATCTAATGGTTGTCTAAACCTTCCCCAAAGTACATTGAGCTTTGGATCTTGCTAAAGAATAAGTAAAAGACAAGATACTGCGAGCTAAACTTCAAATAAATACAGAATTAATAGGTTCACCTTGTAAAAACATCACTAAGAGTGTAAAATGGGTATGGCAGCACCACACTACAGTCTATTCTGTGAAGCACTTTGAGACGTCTAGAAGACGTGAAAAGCGCTATATCAAATGCAAGGATTATTATTATTACCTACTGTGATAATGCTCCCTCAATCTAGTAACAAGTGGAACAAATCGCACGTGTGCATCATATTCAAGATGCAGCATTTTATGATGGTCTAGCTCCTCTGTTGTAGGGCTTTGACTTACTTCATTGATTGGGCCCAGCGAACAAAAGGTGAAGTGATCTTCCCATTTCTGTAAATGTAGAATTTAAAAAAGTCAAGTCTCGTCCCCTCATCCTGAACTGATGAATTTAGTCAATTTGTATTGAAATAAAATGGCAGAGAAGACGTTTCACAAAAAGTAGCACGTCTGATATCACCTTTTATGCCGTCATGAATCATTCATTATAAGGCCCATTAATAATAGGGATATAGCAAGTTCACAATGTTTTAATCAATAATGTACATTTCAATATAATCACACACTATGGATATCTCTACCCCTATAAATGCAGCAAAATCTAGATCCTCAGCATAACACACTGCTCAAAGTTTGCCTTGCGCTCAAAAGAGGTACAACTTCCATTTTGTGTTGCAGTATTCTGAATCGAAAAATTGATGCACTTCACTTATGACTGGAGTATAAAGCTGCCTGAAGCGAGTCTGTGAAAACAGCAACTTTATTCAAGAGTTATAGCCAGTACAGAGATAAATTTATGCTTCAACAAGTATTTGAATCAGGATAATGATCTTAAAAAAACAGAGCCCTCAGTGCGATACAGGAGCTCTCTACAGAGACTAGTTTAGGATTGTCTTTCAATGATTATCATACCTATGGCATTTTACTTTTACGCATAGCATGATTGCATAGTACAAGAAGAGTTTGAATATTTCTTTAAGCTGCAACCAGGAAGCATGTTAACTGCAAGAAATGTGTAAACAGATGAGATTTTTTGGTTTAGAGAGAGCAAGAACAGAAAGGGAAAAAAGGTTTCTGGATTGGGAAAATTGAAAAATAGATTCAAACCAAAATAAGTATTTTCTTAAGATAATCAAACTACAAGACCAATGCCTCTTCACAAAGTCAGTGACAAACAGTTCAAAGCCTTTCACTATCAAACAATGCGTAATTTCATTGAAAAAATTATTTAAATTTAGTTTATTGCACAGTTTCTTCAATTGCGGAATAGTTGGCAGTTTCATTTTATTTTAAGTTGAAAGAACTTCAGGATCTAGAGGTGAACACTTGGAGGGATCTGCACATTCCTCCACAATACTACTGCAATTCTTGCTTGTTACATTATAGATCTAATACTACCAGCCTATCATCACAATGCTGAACATTTTTAATTCAAACTAATCTGTGTTGCATTCCATCTTCCCACCACTGACTAGGAATGGAGATTAAAGTTACTTAATCTTTCGTGAAAGACAAATCTGCAAGTCCCCATTACCGCCATTTATAGAGCAAATAAAAGCAAAAATTTCATTAAAAATATTGAGCAAGATATAGAAAAAAGTTCTTGAATAAGCCACTCGGATATATTTTACCAGTAGTATTAAGATGTATAAATGCCGTTCGTTTTAAATGCTATCCATAGCCTTGAACTCGCTGAGAGCCTGTACTGGTGAGACATGCTTTTTCTGAGATGCTCTTTTGACTTTGTGAGTCTCGTCATTCTTTTCTCTCTTTACTAAGGGTTTCTTTTCTGGTGCCCTCATCTTCCATGACACAGCAGGCATGTTCAGTGCTGCCATGCCTTGAGACCTTTGATATTTAGTGGACGCCACGTAAGAAGCCTTTACGGTTTGCACCACAGCATTCATCAAGTTCTTTGCGGCTTGGATCAGGGACATTGCACTGTCCACCTGGAAATCAAGAAAACAGAAACAGGATTGAGTCAGGGCTGCAGCAGAGCTTTGCGTGGAATTAAACAGTTCAACTATTTTAGCCTGTTCAACTCAATATCACAAAATCCTGTATCATTCAGTGATCCTGGTGGCACAAAGTGTTGACACAAACTCCATGAGCGATTGAAACAGCAATGGCAAAATAGAGTTCTGGGTGAGGGGCCCCAGGAGCTATAAAACGTAATATATGGAGAGAGAAAGTTGTATTTTAAAATTTACTGCAAGATGATATGGAGTAATGCCATCTTATGACCTTCCTACCTGTCCCTACAGTCCCAGGTGCTTCCCCAGAGGAAAAATTGAGGCACATTTACCTGCAGGTCCAAGAGCCTACTTTTAAAGCAGTTTTGGAACAGTCTGCACAGGCAGCAAAGTAAAAAGGGAGTACATTTTGTTCTCAAAAGTAATTAAATATTTGCAAATGAAATACATATTGTGGGTAAAATTAAGCCTTTAGTCAAAAGATGGAACATTTTCATTTGACAGTTGGAATACTTTAACATATCAGCAACTGACACTGTGAACCAGCAATGGAAACACCAAAATCAAGATAGTTTACCTTCTTGGAACCCTACCCTGTTTTAAAAAACTGTGCCCTCCTTAACCATAATAGACTATCAACTTCAGTTATAGGTTAATTACAGTAATAAAGATTTTCCAGTTTCAACAGTTTTAATAAGGTAATATTAATATTGCTTTCAGTATCATTCTGGCCAAGCTGAAATTGGCCAGGAAGTCGGAGGTGGGGTGAGGAGAAATGATAACTCTAAGGGTTAAAGCAGTAGACTTGCCCAGAGCAAGAGAGAAGAATAGGCTTGTCAGTTTCAAGGCAGGTCATCAGTAGGATAAAGGCAAACTGGCTGAGAGATACAGTGAGGAATGGCATTGGCAATATCTGTAGAGATGCCTGTGGGCTGAAATGACATCTCCTCATCTAAAGACATCATGAATGTAATGGAGAATGAAAAGCTCAAGTCCGAGGAATATTAAGGGCTAATTATCAGTATAAATTATTTATTCTCATGCAAACAAGCTACTGGAGAACCTAGTCCAGCACCTACCCCCACCTCCCACTATTTTAATACCTAATTTTTAAGCTATGCGGTCCTATGGACCTGCAATAGCCCATGGTTTCCATCACTGACGAGCCAGCTTCTGCTTAAATATAGCAGACAATAAGGTCGTTAGGTCAATGCTGACAACACTTTCTGTGCATTATATGTATGTACGATTTGTGCAGAAAACACAGCTAATTTTAGTTTACACATTGCCCATACAATGCTGAATTCCCTTCCCAGAAGGGCTTCAGTGATCCTTCTTGTGTACAACGGGCAAGAAGCGACATCAGCAGCAGCCCAATGACCCAGAAGTCAACATTTTAAAATCAGTTTGCTTATAATTTGGCTATTGAGTCCAGAGGATCACAACAGGTTGAGGTTCCTCAGTACGAGCAAATTTATACAAAAGACAGGTTAGGGTTTAAATTCAGATTTGAGACTGAGTATCCATTAAGATGCTCCAAGAGTCAGAGACAACCTTCAGGCTATGTAAACTATACAGTCAAAAGCAGAATTGCCTGCAACAGCAATCATCTTAAGCTTTTCAAATCTTTAGCGGACACCAATTTTTTTAAAACTTTTTTTTAAGTCACTCTGTAACATGGAGAAGCCACATTGACATGAAATTTCAAATATGTCTCAGTATATCACCACCTGGATAAAATCTAACACAATACACCCTGGGGCAGGGAGTGAGGTGTAGTAACAATAATAATCATCCTTGCATTTGATATAGCCCTTTTCACGTCTTCTAGACGTCTCAAAGTGCTTCATAGAATATACTGTAAAGTGAAGTTACTGTATATTTGTGGGTGAAACGCGGCAGCCAATTGTGCACAGCAGTGTCCCACAAAACAGTTGTGGATTGAAGTGACCAATTTTATGATTTTTTTTTCTTGAAGGATTATTATTAGGCATGTGGAGTAAGGAAACTTGCCCAAGGTTTCACCCTGCCAGGAATTGAACCCAGGTCTCTCTCTTGCGAGGCAAGTGCTCTAACCACTGAATACAGGACTCCTGTAGTTAGTTGAGTCTAAGCCATTCTCACTTCCCCTCAATGAAACTAGAAACAAATAGTTAGGGATTCTTTCTATTCCTAACATTTATGATGCTCTGTAGTTAGCTGAACAAGAGATATATCCATGGAGCAATCTAAAGTCTCTGCCTTGTTTCCCCCTTCCATCCAAGATCTCAGGATGGATGGGTGACTAAATCCAGAAGTGCAATTACACTTCCTGCCCCAGAGTTCACAAAGAGTAATCTTAACTATTACATAAGATATTTGAAATTCTAAGCAAGTTGATCGTTAATGAGATTATGTAATTTACTCAACATGGCTCTAGGTGATGCGCATTAAATATCCAAACAAGTTAGAAGGCTGAACTGATGATTAACCAGGAGCATTGCAGTTTCATTTGGCCGGGTCAATAGAATACTGGATTCTTTAACTATAAAAAACATATATAAAAACTAATATGTAATTAGTTTAAACAAAACGTGCTAGGAAATTACATGGCGCTATTTGAATTCGCCAAAACAAAATACAACAAAACTTGCGAGTTTCTTTTTCATGAACTTCAAAAACCCATAATCACAATAAATATTTCTAGATAACTGAAGCCTTCTAGCAAACTATTATCCTACATGTGAAACAATTGTAATTTTATAAAGAACCTCAGTGCATCAAAACAACAGTTACAAATTGATTTTCACTGAAACTGGGTTGAAACTTATGCAATGAGAAAGATCTGTGACAAGATACCATTTCCATATGGCATACATATCCAGTCTCTGTTACCAAATAGATGAGAGTATGAAATGCTATTCATTAACTAGTAATGGTTTACTTACCCCAGAGACAATGAGCTCTCCACCCAAGTTCTGGACTTCAGCTTTGACTTTACTGCAGATGTTCAGCTGATGACAGTACAAAGCAATACGCTGCAGATAGGCCAGCAAGTCTTGCTTACAGCTGGAGTCTGGGCACTGCACAAACAAATTCAACATTGCAGTTTTAAACAAAGTGAAAGTTAGGTCACGACCAAGATATTACGAAAATATGATGCATATTGGTTATACTTTTCTACAGTATTAATCACAGTATATCAGGCTCAGCAGAAATTTGTGTAAACATAAGGAAGCATAAAATCAGAACTTGTACAGTGCACAACTGCAGAGCATGAGGTGTTTCATTGCAAATATAATTTAATGTTAAAGCAATGAACCTGCTGAGAAGGGGAACAGAGCTGCCACATCCGAATTCAACATGAATGATCCAGCAAGCGATCTCAGTGACACAGTTTTACATGGCATTTATGAGCAAGGCTGAATGTAATGAGATGCCAGTGGATTTTTTTTTGGTCAGCCAGCTGTCTGACACATACAGAATCCCATCATCATGCTTAAGATTATCCGAACCAAACTGAAAATTCCATGCATCCCACCCACACATGGAAATCCCAGATAGATTATTGGAATGCGCACTCTCTTCCTGGAGAGACGCACCCTGCTTACCTAAATCCGAAAAATATTAGGTGCAGGTTGGCAAGAGCTTCTTAGAGACCCAAGAGTGTGCGTAGGGGATACTACTTGAGTCTAACGTGCCAAAACCAGATAGCTTGCCATTGATACCGCTGTCTGGCAAGTTTTCCTACTGCTGTCCCAACAGGTAGGGCGTTAGGGTCAGAGTTTTGCAGTATATAAATAATGATCCAACCTAGAGTGTTCAAATTCTGGTTATGCAATATTAATAATCAGTCAAAAAGTTTAAAGGAATTTTTAAACTGACTCATCTGCAGACATTACATTGGAGATGTGCAACGAGTTTCAGTAAGTATGCAGCACATTGCTAGAGCATTCCCACAATGTTGAATGAAACAAGCAGGGAGCAAGTTCAGGCCTCCATCTGTTTGCTCTCGTGTGATTTACCAAATCACGGTTCGATTTTGAATTTTGAATAGTACAATTTACAGCAATTATGCAGGGGAAGAACTACTGCAGTTGGTTGCCAAGGTTCATAGGTTACTGAGACACAATTCTAGGTTTAGAACTGTCATGGCTTTCAAAATTATTAAGCTTCCTACCAAAGCACATTTAATCACAAGATGTGGCATCCAAGTGGTTACCAAGTAACCGGACCTTATTTAAAATAAAACTTCTAGCCAGCTCCGTGCAAGTTTCAATAGAAATAGTGGTTTCAAGTGGCACTTCTACACCTGTAAATGTTTCTACTTATCCCAATTTCATATTGAATTTGATGTAGGATAGCTCAAAGTAACATTATGACAAATAGCAATTCCAAGGCAGAGTTATGTGGGAAATATTCATGTCACAGCAGGCTGAGTACTGCACTACTCAAGATGGAATATTTCTGAAACTAGTAATTTCACTACAGAATTCAGCTATCAAGAAACATGCAAACTCACATGCTGAATGACCAAAATCATTACAATGTCCTCAACATGTCGAATATGATTAATCTTTGCGTATAAGAAGCATTTCTCAAAGACTAAACTTAAAAAAAATCAGATGCTATTCTTGGTTACTCAAGCTTCACATACTCGCTATAATTTTGAATCATTGTTTAACGAGTGCCATTTTCCATCATTGGCCAATCGCTGAGACTGGTATCCCAGATAAATTTCCCTTGTGGGATAAAGGTAATATTGTATTTATAATGTAGGTTGAAGAAAAAATAATAATAATCCTTGCATTTGATATAGTGCCTCATCATGTCATTGAGACATCTCAAAGAGCTTCACAGAATACACTGTAAATTGAATTGACTGTATATTTTGTGGGTGAAACACGAAGACTAATTGCTTCCAGCAGTATCCCACAAACAGTCATTGATTGAGTGATCAAATTATTAAGTATCATAGTACAGTTGTCAAGGCAGTTATTTGTGGAATTCAGTGATACATAATGCCCCATTATTGGTTATTAAAAAAGTTTGTTCAAGGTTAGGTATCAGGGCTTCAATTCAACTTCTGGCACTTCCTATTACAACAATGTGATTCTTCTCTCCACCTCCCCCACTCCATCCATCCCTATGGGCTCAGCAACATACCACAGATTACGTACAATATTGTGTTACTGCTCATATTCACCAGGGAATGGGTTGTTCTTACCCAAATTCATTTCACTTGGGATCCTTAGTGCTCAGAGATATAAAGCCAACTTAATCCACTAGGGAACCCAATCCCTTATCTAAGTAAATTAAATATGATTTAATACTACATATAATGGGAACCAGATTAGTTTCAACAATATCAATTTTGCACCACACAATGCTATTCATTGGAATCCATTCTCGAGATAGATATTTCAGTTCAACTATTTAGACCAGAATTTTAGCTCATCATTGCTGATTAATTCCCAGTCAACATCCTTTGTCATACCGACCCCAATGACCCACATTTCTGATCATGTTTATGTATTAGGAGAATGAAGACCAAATACTTCCCACAAAGAGATTAAAGCAGAGGCCATGTCAACTTGAACTTTACATCTCTTAGTGAATAATGGAATACAGACACATTTCCAGACACGTAGGCACAGTCCTTCTTCCTGTCCCTTCATTTTCACTCAATCATGTTGATTGTTTTAACTTTAATTAGAAGCTGTACAACTCTGGCATGCTATTTCTAGGTTATGCAGACCTTCTAACTGCATTTAATGTATAGATCAAACGCCTGCAGGTTGGATTTTACATTAAATGTTGTATGATATATGCATTAAATGCTGGACATCTATGTGGTAGAAAATTCATAGTTTGCTGCTCTATTTGCAGAATTTAGGATGGAACAAAAACAGCAGCAAATTAGATTTGTAAAGCGCCTTTCACGACAGGAGGATGTCCCAAGGCGCTGAACATTCAGGGATTTGGACCCGAGCAGTGGGAGTGAAGGGCAAGGAGAAGGAGGGTGGCCAACTGCACGCTCAAAGAGGAGGGTTCTGAGACACGCTTTGAAGGAGGAACGGGAGGGAGCAAGACCAAGGGATTGTGGGATGGAGTTCCAAAGGGTAGGGGCAGAGAAGCTGAAGGCCCAACTGTCAATGTTGGGGCAGGCCGGTTGGGGGATGTGGAGCAGGTCATAACCTGCTGAGGTGGAGGGAGCAGACAGGTTGATATGGGTTAGCAGGTCACAGATGTAGCAGGGAGCAAGGCTGTGGAGGGCCTTGAAGGCAAGGATTTTGAATTCTATCCACTGGGGGATGTGAAGCCAGTGGAGCCAGGCGAGGGTGGGGGTGATAGGGTCACAAAGCCTGGCGAGGAAGAGGACACGAGCTGCAGAGATGATCTGCAGCTTGTGGAGGGAAGAGTTGGGAAGGCTGACAAGCAGGGAGTTAGCATAGTTGAGCCTCGATGTACATCCATTTCAAACAATTTTCTTTGTCAAAACGGAACTGATCTTACAAACTATTCAATGCATGGCACACAGCTGGTGCCATCTGTTTCCCACTGCAATTTGTTTTAAGGCTAACATTTATTAAGGTGCCCTCATTTGAATATTCTCTGGAGTTGCTTTGTACCATGACAGCCATCACAAACCTCACATCCACGCCTTTAAATGAAATATCGATAGCAATTGTAACAAGACAGCTTGCTAACCTAGAATTTTTCCAGCTACTTCGCATAAAATTAATATTAAGCCATTCCAGAAATAGACTTTCCTGGAACCCAAAAGGCAAAGGTTTCCTTTTAACTAGCCATGGAAGGATAAGGTGCATTAGCTGTCCTAGTCATTGGTGTCAGTTGTATTTAAAATCACACGCTGCTGGTATGTCGGGTCTCACTGCACTGACAGAATTAAAGCAATTAATCAAACATTTGTGGAACAAATGCAGAACAGCAACACAATTACCTTTAAACTTTGCACCAAGTTATCTTTCCTCTGTGAATGGGTGACAATATGCATTACACATTAAAAGTAAAAATAAACTGGACAAAAGCAAAACTGGCCTCAGCCAAACAAAGTGACCTGAGCAGCTCCAATTCCTCTTCCCAAGCAGGAGGTGATGGAGACTTTGTGATAAAGCATACACTGAACAATGGAACCGAAACCAGTTGAATTTGATAATAACGACAACAAGATTTCATTTTCATTCGTCTTGAGACCGGCCTTGAAGGAGGAAAGGGTGGAAGCAAGGCGAAGGCACTGGGGGATGGAGTTCCAGAGCCTTGGGGCTGAGAGCCCGGCCACCGATGGTAGGCCGGTTGGGGCGGGGGATATGAAGTAGTCCGAAGCCAGAGGAACAGAGGGTACGGGCAGGTAAGTAGGGGGATAGTAGGTCGGAGAGAGCAAGGCCGTGAATGGCTTCGTAGGTGAGGATGAGGATCTTGAATTCGATCCTCTGGGGGATGGGGAGCCAGTGGAGGCGAGCGAGGGTGGGAGTGATGTGGTCGCGAAGCCTGGTGCGGGACAGTACACGAGCTGCAGAGTTCTGAATGACCTGCAGTGTGGAGGGAGGGCCGGGAAGGCCGACGAGGAGAGAGTTCCCATAGTCCAGCCTTGAGGTGATAAAGGCGTGGACCAGAGTTTCAGCAGCGTGAGGAAGTGCCGTAGTCTGGCGATGTTTCGGAGGTGATGGAAGGCGGTGCCAGTTGTGGCGCAGATATGAGAAAGAAAGGACAGCTCAGGGTCGAACAGAACCCCAAGGTTCCTGACTGGCTTTGAGAGGTGGAGAGTGCAGCCTTGGATGCTGATGCTGTCAGCGCCTGAGGTGCGGAGGCGCTGACGTGAGCCAATCAGGAGGGCCTCAGTTTTACGCACGTTGAGCTGAAGAAAGTTGTCTCTCGTCCAGGACTCGATGTCGGACAGGCAGCTGTCAGGACATCGGTGGTCGTGGAGTTGAGGGTACAGGAGGAAAGGTAGAGTTGGGTGTCATCCGCATACATGTGGAAGTTAACCCCATGTCTGCGGATGATGTCACCAAGGTGGAGCACGAGGCAGTGCTGGGGCTGGAGGAAAAGCCGTTTGTGGAAACAAAATGAAGACGGTGGGAGAGATACGACCTAAACCACTCAAGGACAGGGCCTTTAAGGCTGAGGTGGGAGGACAAGCGGTGGAGGAGGATCGAGTGGTCGACCGTATCGAATGCTGCCGATAGGTCGAGGAGGCGGAGGTTGCCCTGGTCGCAGATGGTCAAGATGTCATTGGTGACCTTGACCAGGGCGGTTTCTGTGCTATCGGCAGCACGGAAACCTGACTGAAGGGGTTTGAATAATGAATGGGTGGAGAGGAAAGAACGCAGCTGGGAGGCGGCGACTCTTTCAAGGACCTTGGATAGGAAGGGGAGGTTGGAGATGGGCCGGTAGCTTGATAGCTGCGATGCAAAAAGGGAGGGTTTTTTCAAAGTGAGAGTGATGGTGGCAGTTTTTAGGGGAATGGGAACAGAGCCAGAGGAGAGGGACAGGTTGATGATGTCTGTGAGAAGTGGGGCAAGGAGGTGGAGCTGGGGGATAAGGAGTGGAGTGGGGATGGGGTCAAGGGAGCAGGTGGTGGGTTTCAAGGACAGGATGAGGTTGGTGACAGAGGGTGGGGAAACGGGTTCGAAGGTGTGTAGGGGAGGATGGGTAGGAGTCGGAGTGTGGGAGAGAAGGGGTGGAGGGTGGGTAGAAGTTGGAGGGGCAGTGACCACGGAGCGGATTCCCTTGATCTTGGATTCAAGGAAATCCAGCATCTCCTCGCAGTGATGGTTGGAGGAGATGACCTGCACGGGGTGGCGGGGGGGATGGAAGAGTTGGGATGTGGTAGAGAACAGAAGCCTGGGGTTATTCTTCACCTCCAGGATTATCCCGGAGTAGAAGGACGACTTGGCCGAGACTAGAGTGGAGCGGTAGCTTTTGAATAACTTGAAGAGAAGGGGCTTTCTTGCCAATTGTTACTGCTTATTTTGAATGAGTCCAGTAGGCAAGAGAGAGACATATACAAGATTATTCCTAATATTTTCAAAAGGGCATTTATTAAAAATCTGGTTTATTATATATCTAGAAATGCAAATCTTCCATTTTTAACACCTCATTGAGCATCTAACGGCGTTAAAAAAAATAGAATTTACCAAGCCTCCCATTCTGTCAGACTAGATGAAATATCAGTTCTATGTATCAAGCTTCACTGCCTTTAATATCCCAAACGGCCACAAAATAACTTTTATGGGAGGATGGTTTTCCTGTAAAAGTAGAATACATCTAAAATGTATTAGATTAAGTCCAAAATTAATTCTATTAAGACATCTGTAACTGCCAACCCCAAAAGAATAATGTGCATCAACTTATATTAGAATACCCAAGCATCCAGTTTCACAAACATGCTTTTTGATACTACTGGCTCTACATAATGTGAATAGTTTTTTTTAAATGCAGTTTCACTCTAAATAAATGAAAAATGTAAAGGCCATACTCACTTTTCATATTATTATTAGCAATCACAACAGTCTTGTAAACACTCACAACAGGCCTCAACTCATAAAATGTGTCAGCTTATTGCAGATGTTAAGTGTCTCACTGAAGTGTTTAGACAGCCGTTTATTTCAATGAAAAGAAGTGTACAATTTGCAGCTTTTCCATAAATTAGCTATATTTTAACCTCTTTGGAAACAAACATTTTTTATCCATTAATTATTGTAAAGCTATTTAGAGACAGAATAAATACCCATTGAAAATGGACTATTGTTTAGACTCTAAAAAATAAATGTTAATATTTTAGTACATCCTTAGATGTCCAGCAACACTGAGATCATAGTGGCATCTTTTTAAAAAAATGCCATTGCGTTTATGTAAACTAGAATTAGTCCTTTTTGCAGTTTAACATTCACAGGTACGAGCCAACAAGTACTTAGTTGTAACACTGATCAGAGTTCAAGTTTGTCTTTTGTGTTTAACTGTCGCCTAGTTATGTGAATATGATCTTCAAAATTTATAGTAAAAAAAACCTTAAAATGTTACATCAGAAAATATTTTCCCCAAAAATCCCTCCCAGAATGACTATAGCAATTGTATTGGCAAATTTCAGCAGATAAGAATCTCAAACAATTATTTTCTACTTCAAATGATACACCATAGGTGCAGAATCTGTCCTTTCAAAGTTCTATATATTACACAGCAATAAATAAATGTCAGATGCCAACACAACATATTGTGATTTTAGAACAGTGATCAGAACAGTATTTTCATTATGATCTGCAGCAAAAACTCACGTGATCAGCAATTGTACGTCCAAGTTTATCCATCCTTGAACCCGCTTCAGCAATCTTCTTGGCTGCACTGATTACGTCAGATGTATTCTTGAGTGGGCCTTTTCCTCTGCAATAAGAACCACCAAGGTTAGCATTTACTCCTAATGTATAAATCAACAAACAGAGACAATCCTTCCACTCGAGCACAATTCAAGCTTCCACAATAAACATTACTTGCATTTTCGACCCCAGCTATGAACAAAGCCTAACGTACCGAGACTAAAAACAAGCATAGGTAACTAGCTGCCTGTTCAAATTTGTTAAGTTGATTAAATAAAAGCTGGAAATAAAGCCTCCAGTGATTTAGTCCTTTCTCGATTGTCAAAACACTATTTATGGTCACTTTATTTAGCAATCTAAACATTTAAACAGTAATTTAATATCTTGCAGTACAGTAAAGTGCAAATTCTTAGTCTTGACTAACATTGAGCCTGGTGATGAGATCCTATGACAGTCCACACTACTTTTTTGCTGCACAATTAACCTGAATTGCTTGGGAGTCTTTGCTTGGAATGGAAATTTTCAAAATGCCCGCTGTTCCTCGTCAGAATGCTCCAAATGAATTTTTCTGGATTTAAAAACATGAAATCCTATAATGATACCAAAATATTGGGACAAATGCCTACCATCTTTCAGCCAATACATTCATGGTACTCTTGTGCTGTAATACTATGGTTAGGCTACTAAATTACACTGGTTCAGTGCACACAATCTCCCAGCAAGTCAAGAGCAAAATTCCAAAATTTCATTTTCATCTGATAGGAATGTATTGAGCCGCAGCCATAGCCAGATACTTAACTTTCGACATCTGGATAAGACACATCTTTTGGATTTACATAAAAGCACACAGGTGATTTAGATAAATACTGAAGTGCCAACCTGGTGAAATCTGTCATTTCCATCATGATCATACACATCTGCTTGGCCAGGACAATGATATCATTTCCACTGTCATCCCATTTAGACACTTCAGCATCCAGTTTGATCTTCTCCTCTTCAAAGCTTGCTACCTGCTCAGCAATCTTTGCCTTCTGTTCCTGGGGAAGCTGAGCCATAATGGCCTAAAAAGAGACATTTCAGCTGAATCAGGCTTACAGAAAAATGCACAGAAACATAAGGAACCTAGCTGCAACAAGATCTGAATGAAGATACATTTAAGCAAAGAAACAGCAATGAAGACTGATTCCTTCGCTCATTCAAGTAGAGTGATAAGGCACAGAAACAGACCATTTGGTCCAATTAGTCCATGCAGGACTAGTTTGGATTACCAGACAATCAAACAGCTTCAGTAATTCCATGTTCACATTGATCCACAATTTACTGGTTAGCACAATGGTTTTGTCCAATGTTCTATTATCGTATGCATCTCAGCCAATTCCTATTACTTTTGTTTTCCCCCAAGGATCCTTACGCTTTACTTGGAACCAGCAGAGTATTTAATAAAGAAATAATCCAAATAATAATAATCCTTGCATTTGATATTGCACTTTTCTATTCTTGACGAGGTCTCAAAGCACTTCAGAGAATATACTGTAAAGTGAATTGACTATATATTTGTGGGCAAAACACGGCAGCCAATTGCGTGCAGCAGTGTCCCACAAACAGTCACGGATTGAGTGACCAAATTACTATTATTATTGTTTTCTTTTTTTTGTTTCTTGAGGGATTATTAATATGTGGATAAGGAAACTTGCCCAGGGTTTCACCCTGCCAGGAATCGAATCCAGGTTTCTCGCTTGCGAGGTGAGTGCTCTAACCACTGAGCTACAGGACTCCACAATTAATTAAAACAATGAAATGTTTTAATTTTGTTTAAAACTATTTATCCCTAGATGTCCATAAAATTATTCACAATGCAATGGTTTTCCCATAATAGTTGCTGGGTTCTCAATGCGCATTCATGAGTTTTAAAAAACATTATGTGGAGATAGACAAGTTCATAAATACATTTCTTCACCGGGTAGATTTGCATAATCTATTTAGCTGCAACGACTAGCTGCTTCATATTTCACACATATTCCATTTGAGGTAGGGAATGAGAGCTAAATGAACTCATTTGTTAGCTCACATTTGTTTACAGATGCATCGATTTTGCACAATCCCATTTCAGAATGCTTAAAGTGCCAGCTGTTACCAGCCCGAATGAACAAAGCCCACATGCACCACCAGCAGCATGGTGGTTTTGCTTGCATCGTCTATGTACTGTGCTTCAACAAAGGGAGTAATTAATTGAATTGTAGCATTTTTCAGCACACAACAGCCCAGTTGGAGCAAAGGTCAATCGAAAAACTTCACACATGCAAACTTTTTTTTGTTGCTCTATACCTCCCACATAATTGAAGGATTATATCAGCAAGTTCCATCAAACTGGAGTATTAATGAAAGATGTTTGAGATGGAGGAAGATGCATAGTGCAGTTTTAACAGGATGGTAGTTTTTAAAACTCAACATTTTCAAAAGTGTACAGCAATGGGCATCCAACAGTGTAAATAACTAATGCTGCACTATATTACTCCCCACATATTTTTTCTGTATCCATTATATAAAGTGAGCTGGATTCAGACTTAGTGTAAGGCAGTTATCACTGGTATCGACAAGCTAGGGAGACATTTAGACGTTTGATTCTACAAATAAAAGCTTGACATGGTATACATCTTGCTGATCACTACAAAGCAAAGTTTAATACAGAACGCTATTCAGTATTGCACATAGAAAGTAAACTACGACTCAATGTACTCCATGGATGGTATACGACTAACGAGGAGCAATTTGAAAGATCCAGGGATGTTAGTTAACTTTTTTTTAATGTTCACACAAGTATAAAGCAGCAGATAAGCAAAAAGGATGCTGTGCTACATTGCCAAATCAAGTTCAGATCCTCAGCAGGCATGCTCAAGCTGCACACGCTCTTGTCAGGCAGAACCTGAAATATTGCTTACAGTTTTTGCCAACGTGATATACGAGAGATGACCGAGATTAAGAGGCAATGCAGAGAAGACCAACAAGGCTGATTCCCAGTGTTAAGAGGAATGAGCTATAAGAACAACCAGAAGATTGGTCTCTTCATCTTTGAAAAAGATGTCTTGGATGGAACCTTTGTGTGTGTCTTCACCCTTAAAAATGTCTTGGGAGAGAACCTAGTGTGTGTATGTATATATATATATATGTTAAGAGATGTATGAGATGCTTGATGAGGAAGTAAACTGAACTACAATTTGAGATGTGCAGGATATTTAGGGCAGACACCAAATAGCACCATAGCAGTACCTAAATACAGAAGGTATTCAACACTGCAATGATTACCAGGAAAACTGATTAAGATCAGGACTCATTTACAAGACTATTCAATGGTGTAATGGGAAGTGTTGGTATTCTGGAAGAATGAGAACAAATAGACTACCTTCAATCAAACCTTATTTGACAAAATACCTTGCAGAATCTCAGAATAGTCCTTTTTAACCAGTGAAACAGATTCACGTTTCATATATTGTGCCAAATGAAAGGCAGCTGGGTCCTGCATACTGATCCACTGGGTACTGTGCTGAAGCTGCCTGAACTCATTTCTAGGCCCTTAACAGCTGTCAGAGAAAGGAGAGCATCATCCCATCTGTCTTGTCTGAATTCAAACCCACATCCCAGTGGGCAATGCCCAGTGTTCAACCTCCATCTCAGCCATTTCAAAAATGTTGGAAATTAGATATGTACATCAGAAAAAGCATAGAAAAGTAGTCATTATTTAAAACACGTTACTCAACATTTTTAATGATGTTGTTCGAACATGGTATTCACTAAAGAGCAATCTGTCAGCAAAATTTAGCATTGGCTAAACTAGTATATATTTTTCTTTCATTAAATGAGCAAAAATACATATTTAATAACAGCTTGATCAGTACACCGGTACTGTACATTTTAGGATGGAAGGCTACCCTCTTTAAGATAGTACAATTTTGGTTTGGTCAGCCGGGTGTCTGACATTACCCATTACCGTACTTAAGAGCATCCAAACCAAATTGAGAATTCTATGCATTTCAACTATACATGGAAATCTCAAGAGATCTATTGTTGGAATGGGAAGCATCTCCTTACCATCCTCCTTACCAAATTCCAAATTACCAAATTCCAGAAAGTATCAGGGGCAGGTTGGGAAGTGCCCAGGCCTGGATAACCAAACTACGTACAAAAGTAGCATACTTTAATTAGCTAAATGCCTTACCCGTGCACTCTGCCCATTGATAAGCTGATCCTCCTGTGTCTGGACACTAGTTCTACTTTGCACGTCAAAGTCTTCGGTCTCAAAGTCTGAGTCATCCAATTCTTCAGGAGTCTACAGAGAAAGTACGGTTAATATGCTGATTGAGGAAAACAGAAATCCTAACTGTTTTGAACATGGAACAGATATTAATACACTACAACAAAACTAGATGGTAGATATTACAAACTAATTTGAAGCAAACAGTAAAAAAAGTATAAAAAATTCAAATGTATTTTTAGACAATACTAGACATGTTTAGTACCAGCAGGAATATTTACTAAGGTACATTTTGAAATTGTGAAACCCTAAAATCATAAATCACTCATGCACATTAAAACAAATTATTCACACAAAAGAAACTTTCCAACTTTCTAATTCTATTGAAAAAAACATAATTTCTAGGATTTACAGGGCAGTTTATAAACCAATGGCAGTTATCTCTTAATGAAGTCATACGTCGCCGATTAAGTGGTGATGTTCAACCAGTCAAAAAATGTAGGAGCCATAAAGCATCTCCCAAATCAAATAGCAAATATAGTTCAAGAAAGATCTACTTAAATTTAGGCTAGGTGGTGAGAGCAAAGCAACTTCCTTTCAATCTTCCCCTTCCTCCAAGAAGAAGCTTTTTCCTGCCACCTCACCAACATGGTGTAAATGAAACTTATGCTTTACTCAATAATTCTTCCTCAGTGAGCAAAAAGACAGGAAGAAAGAGCCTATTGTGAAGCATGATTAGAAACTGTCTCTTCCTAATGTACTTCGATGCACTCAAGCTGTCATCCCACAAGTACAGTTTGCAGAGCCAAAAACACGACAATGGAGTTGAGAGTTCAAGAAAGGAGCCGGGGACTAGGCTAAATGCTGTGAGCAGAGAGGAGTCTGTTACAATTATGTCCAATAAAAACAATGAGCTATGGAGAATTGTATTTTCTGCTGGGACATGTGTTAAGGCCACTGCCTTAAACAGTAACTAGTTGAACCTTTCTGTACAATCTGCATAATTTTGTCCAATCATAATCAAAATTATAACTGCCTGCCCTGCCTGGTGACCATAAAATTCTAGATGACTGCAAAAAATCACATGGTACAGATTTCAGACAACAGTTGGTGAAATTGGTGAAATTAAAGAAGGATCTCAAACAAAACTGGTCACTTGTGTAAAAAATATTTTCCAAATAACTGGCAAAAGGTACAACAAGAAGTAAATACAGATCCTAAAAGATAATCAAATTCAATCTTTTGATGTTCAGGAGCGCTCATTTTTGGAAGTAGAATCTTAATTGCAATGTGTGACTGGAAAATAAACAGCTGCCTACAATTAAAGGCTGATGTGCACCCATGTAAACGCATAGAATAACACTGTGTGCCTTTGAGACTAATTGGCTCAAAATTAAGTGGCTTGTTAATGCAGGGGAACCCCACTATAGCATCTCCAGGATCATTTTAAATTCATTTTATCCCATGTTCAATATTTTTCAGATTCAGTCAATTAGAACCCCTTTCGACTTTAATAAGGAGAAGACTTGTATGATAACAGTACATCGAAAATAAAAGCTGCATATGAATACAGAAGAGACCCTCACTCTGATCATCAACACGGCTTTTCTAATATCACGGATGCCATCATAGACAAGGCGGGATGCATCAATGAACTCATTTTCGTCAACTTGCTGAGCAGGATTGGCACTGAGTGCTTCCACAGCAGCTTCCACTTGTTCAGAAAATCGTGGCATAACTAAATGAAACGGGAGGGGAACAAAGGAAGAAGTAATTAAATGAATACATGATTTAAAAGTAATCATTTTTGCAGGTTCTGTAGTTTTGAACTTTTTAATACACATTCCTGCAGTTACTGAATATCCTTTGAAAAATGTTATGGATTACAAAAGACATCACCATTTATTTGCAAATGGAGTGCAAGTTCCTTTTTCAGATGTATTACTAATGCTTGCCAATTTACCAGTAAATAACCTTCAACTCAAAACGCAGGTTCATTTGGGCTTTTTTTTTTTAAACAAAACTAATTTAGTGTGTCCATGAAAGCAATAAATCAAATTCTCTTAGAATTAAAAGCTCCCATACTTTTGTACAAAACAATCCTTTACTGGAGTTTGTGATCACGAACAGTGGTGCATCAATTATCAAAAGACAAAAGCGAACAGTGAATAAAAGATGCTCTAGATTGTAGAATCTTATTTAAAACTTGCTATGAATCAATAGGGACACAATACACATAATCATACTGGAGTATAAGTGCAAACATAAAAGCTAATACAATAACCACAAGAATCAAAGAATTATGCTCTAAGCCAATGAGTCATCATCCAAAACGCTTGCAGTCTGATCAGTTTATAGTCAATAGTCAGTTTACATTTCTTCCAATTATTCCAGTAAGAACTCTGGCAACCCGTTTCAAATATTGCTGTGCCAAAATACGTTTAAGTTCAAAGCAGTTAATAATAATCCTTGCATTTGATATAGTACATTATCACGTGGTTGAGATGTCTAAGCACTTCACAGGATATATTGTAAAGTGGATTTACGGTGTATTTTGAAGGCGAAACAAGGCAGCCAATAGCGCACAGCAGTTTATTTTAGTTTGTAAACTAACTAAAGGTAAGCATTCTGAGCCCAAACGTAACTGGGCTAAATATGCTTAAATATCAAATGCAAATAAAATCCTTTCCCTCTTCAGTTTTAAAATAAATTTTTTTAAAGATCAATTTTGCAAAGCTTCACCTGTTTCAGACAACAACTTGGTTGCTTCTAGAACCTTTTCAGTGTAAACTCCAGGTTCATAATTATCCATTTCTGAAGTGACAACATGAACAACTCGTGCTGCACGCCCTCGAATTGCACCAGCCGTACGGTCCAATCCATCAACGTCTTTTTCCTGGAGCGCAATGACGCATTTATTTACGTCTTCTAGGATGTGATTCTCTGTGAACAGTCAGGGAAATTAAAGTTTAATCCAAGGTTATTCAAGTTAAATGGAGCCTTCCTCAATCAAACCAAACTTACTAGGAAGCCTGTCAAAAGCACCATGGATTTATGAAACTGGATAAACTGGTAGATTTGGTGGAAATTGTCTCAAATGCAAGTACCTGAAACACACAGGAAGTCATCAATGGATGTAATGTCATCTACAGCATCAGTCAGCACACGCACTTGTTTCTCCCACAGTTCTTTAAAGAGATCCATATTGTCCTGTGCCACTTTACTCTGAGGTTTAGCAGCCAAGGCCAAGGCAGCATTTATAACCTGAAAATGGTATGTTTGAATAAATTGGGAGTTAGTCACAAAGTGGTTGCATTACCACTTAAAGAATCAATTCCATGTACAAATGATGCAGTTAACCAATTATTTTCAAGTCCGACCACAATAAAAGGATCAACAGGAAAAATAAAGTTAAACTACCCATATCACTGATGGAAGCAGGATGAACGATTGTACCTTTGGCAAACAGTGCCATATCAATTATCAAAAAGAAAGCTAACAGCTAATAATCATGATGTAGAAGTTGGTGAAAGTCATATCGTATTTAAAATTTGCTACGAATCACTATGTTTTTACTGCCGAAAATTCAATAGGGACACAACTCAATGATATATGCAATCATCCTGGAGTATAAATACACTCTGCCATTAGTATTTTCATACAACTTGTGGCTGTTAAAATAAACAGAATGTGCTTCAAACCTGTGGGCAAAGGCTTTCAAGTTGACTGGCTGCCATGCGAACCAGTTTCACACCTTCTTCATTATTAGAAATTGAGCAAGCGAGATTGGCCACCTGAAAGAAAGTGAAAGTATGTGTTGAATGGGTGTGGTCATTTGACTTTGAGTTGTGCTACGGATAGCATTTCAAGACCATACTAGACATTTGTTGAGATCATTTAATGCAAGTACAGTGAAATATTTCAAGAATTTATCAGAAATAGTTGTCTGGCTAATGCCAATAATCTTAATTTGTGCCCTCTCCTCAATGAAAAATAATCCATTACTTTTCAACCTTTATGATCTTCAAGTTCTCTTATTAAGTAACCCTTCAACCCTCTCAGTTCTAGTGTTTTAAAAAAAATAACTTCACAATCTCTCTTCATAACAAATGTCTCAAACTCGGCAATGGCTAGGTTAAAATCATTATTTAGATTAACAAAACTGAATGAAAATTTTCACAAGATCATTCCTGTAAACAAACCAGAGGAAACAAATGGAACCAAAAAAGGTTTGCCTTCATGGGATGGGATAGAATAATGCTGCAAAACAAATGACAGCAAGAAAAAATGATTACAACTGGGAGTATTTGAAGGTTGAAGCAACAGCAATTTCCATTAGATCAAATCTATTCACATACAGTAGGTATGATCATTGATACAAGAGCTCAATCAACTAATTATATACTAATTATAAACAAAGCACTAAAATGCGAAGTGTTCAATTGGAACGTATCAGTTAAACATGATAACTTTTATTTCCCAACAATTACTTATAAGAAGTTAAGTCAGTCCAACATGCTGTTTCACATTAAGAACAAATAAAATCCTACAACAAACTGGTAAGTTACCCAGTGTGAAATAGCCAAAGGGAATTGCATAAATGTCAAAATTCTATTTTGTAGATGATGAAAGCCTACTAAAAGCTTTCTGCAATCAACTATTTCTGCACCCGAAAGCAACAAATGCACTAATTCTCCATGTATTAGTGTTAAAATGTCTATGCATTAGCTATAGTAATAAGCTTCTCACTTGGTTACAATGTATGATAATGAGTTCAAGATTGATATATCAATGCTTTGAAAAACTAGATCAGAGTAAAGATATGGTTGCTGAACTGAGCATACCAATTAATATCTGGACTCACCTCAACCAATTTGCTTGCATGATCACGGAATACCTGGGCATATTCCTTCACTTCCTTTTCATTACCATTTTTTGCTGCTTCGATCAAAACTAGAAGAGGAACATTGGTCTCCAAGAAAGAGTCTGAAACATGGTCCATCACAGCTTTCCTCAACTGTTGAAAAATAAATCCAATCAACATTTCATCTTGAAACAAACAAATTTCATACAAAATCCCTCTATGCAAAGATTATTATGGCTTACACTTTTCATCTATTTCTATAGATGGAATATTTGGTGTGAAAGAGCATCTTGAAACATTTTGCCCTAAACCTACATTTTGCCCTAACCCCAAGGAAACCTACTTACAAACGATCTGTCTGCCAATTTGCAAGGAATTTGCTGATACTTTAATATCAATTCTTTTCACTGCTCTCCAGCAGGAACAGCACTGATGCAATGGTGACTATTAGAATCACCAAAGAGTGAAGCTATGCCTTTGAAACTGTTTGAGTTCAAATAAGAGCTCAAACCTGAATTATGTAAAATCCCTGACATTTTAAAATTCTCCAAATAACACGTTATTCATACAATATTGATCAGAATGTGTTTATTGCAAATCTAACAAATTAAGACTAAAGTGGCTTGTTACAAATCTGCTTACAGTGATTAAATTCAAAGTTGCTTTTCAGCAAAATACAATTAAGGCTGCAAAATATTTCCTCTAACATTTTACTACTATATGTTACTGTACCTGTCTGCGTAGGTCCCTTGTCTTTTTAGTCATTTTATCAATTGCTGCATTGAGTGCATCACCTCTTTCTTTTCGACCAGCCTAAAATCATAAAAACATTTACAGTTAATTTACTTTACAGTATATTCTATGAACCACTTTGAGACATCTCAAGACATGATAAAGCGCTATACCAATGTGATTATTTTAATCTTGATGGAACTCTTCATCAACAATACTTAAATTCACACTTACCAATGAAAAATTTAATTTGCTTAAGCTATAGTCAATGAAAAACATCTAGTGCAGTTCTCAGTGACCGACTTCCTTGCAATATTCAAATTTTACAGCTGAAAATTTGTCTTTTGATTCAAATTATTCCAGCAATTTCAGAAAATGGCTATCCCTTTTCTAAATATTAAATCATTAAGGTTGTACAATGGTATTTCTCTTCACATCACCTACTCTATTTATTTCAACTATTATTGAATAATAAAATGTTTCTTTAATATAGTATATTGGTAACTGGTCAATATCGCACTACCAAAAATACTCGTGCTTTTAATAATAAAACAAATAGGTCTACAGAAAGGCATATTTTAAGAAACAAAATAGTTCAAGCAATACAAATTCTCATTCCATCTTACTGCACTGTAATATGGTCAATACATTTGTGTTAGTTCCCCAAACACAGAAGAGGGTTCAACTACCAACTGTACTTAACAAGAAACTAAACAATGAACTGTAATAATTTCAATTAATCAGTTTAAATTCAATTTAATCAGAGTAATTAAATCAAGCGTAGATCTAACCAAACTAATCGAAATAAGCCATTTTTCTGTTGAGCAGCAATTACAAAGTCCAAGTTCAACGTTCACAATACAGTATTTGAAATCAACACTGAATTGATGCGACAACTGCAATAGATATGGCAAATCAATCTGCTTACAAAAAAAATTTCATTGAGATGATATGCTTCAGTGCCTTGGGACATCCTGCCAACGTGAAAGGCGTTATACAAATGTAATTTTGTTATCGTTTATGTACACATCATCCTATCACAGAATTAAAGTACGATCTTTAGTTCATATCTTAACCATAATCCCACCTTTCTCGTAAGAAATTGTATAATTAAGGTTTTTTGTGAAATAAAAAGAATTTGAACAAGATATAAAGAGGAAAGCCTCAAGTGTCATTCTGCTATTCCCGAGGATAGGAAAATACACTTCAGTGCACTTATACTGCCTCCGCTGGTGTTCAATCATCTGCACATCAGTATAGTGAACCACACATTTAGGGATTATATTCCTTCCGATATGTTATGTTTATAATCTTAATTCTCAGAATTCCCTTTAACCTTTTTCAGCACTCCAAGCAAATTGTGGTTAACAGAAATCATCCTTAAGGCAACCGCTGACTTCCTAAAAGCGAGCCCAGAAGTCTTCTAAAACAATCTTCAAGTAGTTTTCAAAACAGTAAAACTGTTTGCTCTATACACATCTGCAACACTCCAAAATGCCTCATTGAAATCAATTGGAAAACGTAATTGCTAATCTGTGACCTCTCGGTGGTGTACTGCTCCTTAACGTTACACTGTTAATTACATCTTTAGAATTCACCATAAATTACAATTAAACTTTTCCACATTAAATATTATGCAGTACTAACTGGGCTAAAGACTGTTAAAATCAAACTAAATGAATTCGGCAGTAATGTTTTGAAGCATACTGGCAATTCACAGATTGAACACGTGCTCCACTCACAATTCCACACACAGCAAGATTCTAATTACAACTCTGCTGCTGTAGTAACTACTTATGCCCACAGGTAATGAGGGAAATACCTTGCATACCATTTTTGCGCTCCTATAGTGACGATGATCCATCTACCCTTTTAGTTAGGCACAGTATGGTAAGGGGAAAGTGGAGAGAAATGCTCATGAAGGAAAACTAAGCCAATCTGTAGCAATCATTAGCTCTTCAATCAAGTTCACAACATTAAAATGCATGAAACCAACAAACGGGAAGAAGCTTAAAAACACAACTCTTCTCTCCTCACATTCCATGTTTAAAGTAGAAATATATCTTAAGTATTGTCCAACTGTAGCGTTATCTGATGCTGGGAACACAAGGTCTTACTGTATAGCCCTAAGTACGCTGTGAATCACCATAACAAAATGCTTACAATGAAAGGAATGAGATTACATGCAGAAACCTGGGGTCCTGTAACAAAGCACTTTCAGTCAGTCACAAGTCCAGGGCAGTCTTAATGGACAAAGTTCAGCAATTCTTGGCCAGACTACTAAATCAAACTGTGTTGCTACACAGTTCTTGGAACAAAAAAAAGCTAGTATCATAAAAGAGCTTTCTATGTTAATGCCAGACTGGCGCTATAGTTTGAATCATCTTACCCTTCAACTTGGTAAAAATAGGCAAAGCAAAGTAGCAAATTTAAAGGAGTAAAGTACATACAGTATTTATCTCCAGATATTACCATACTGAAAAAACAACCATCTACTTCTAATATAAAATGGGTTTCTTTATTTCATTATATAATGAAGCTACACAATTAAATTCACCTGTCTTTGCTATTATTAGCATTTTTCAGAGGTTATTCAATTTCTCAGTTGTTGCATAGCAACATAACTTCAGTTGCAAGGTTTTAAAACCANTTTTTTCCCTGTAACTGATATAAATTGCTGGTTATTTACTAAATGTAAAGCACTTTCTTTCATAGAACAAAGAAATCCTTTCTTCAAGTACACAAGAGTTTATAAAATCAATCGTTTTCCCTTTCAGAAGCTGGTTATACAACATTTTGCTTTTTTGAGTGAAAGTACTGGCAAAGAAAGCACTCAGAGAAAACTTAAGGCTATTCTAGTACATCAATTGGTCAATAATTCTACAGAAAAATGTTCATCGACTCCTCCCACCCTACCCCCAAAATAAATCAGGAAACGCAAAAAATACTCCATCATAGGGGCTGTTGAAATTTAAATATAGTTGCACTAGTTTGCTTCTAGGAGTAACTATTTCCATAGCTCACCCAGTTACTGCAGCATTACAGTACAACAAGGATTAAGCAGATATTTATAAAACCCATAAGACCAGAAACTATGGAACAAAAGCCATTTGGCAAATGAATGATGCTTTCCTCAGTCCATGTAAAACCAACCACATGATTGACTTCTTTCTTCCTTTCCCAGCATCTAGACTCTTGCAAAAATATTCCTCGAATCCTAAAGCCATTCACACCATGAAGAAATTCCACACCATTCCTCTATTCCATGTTTTCTATTGAAACATCTCCTTTAGAAAATATTTTCTCTTCCCACTCCACAATAAAAAATAGAAATTACAGTAAACAAACTTTTTTAAATCTCATATTACCATGATATTGTAATGACACTTAAAGTGAAAAGATTGATGATTATCCCGCCAGATAAATAACTCATGGAATATTTCTACCTGTAGTCCAGGCACCAATTATTTGTAGTACATATTACTAAGTCAGGCTAGTGAATAGAATGGTTATGAATTAGAATGATGCAACCCTCCTCTTTACAATCAGCAAAATTAGCACAAGTTCTTCAGAAATAGTGAAGAAAATATTCTATAAAACTAAAATGTATTTAAAAATGCAAATAGTGATGTTGCTTATGCTTGTGATGTTCACAAGATTCAATACCCCCAACCTTGTATGTACTGAAAATATAATTGTAAAAAATATTTCCTGCCTCATTTATCCTGGTAATTAGCTATTGCTTCCATCAACAGGGTGACTTGGAACAGGAAACTGGATTTATATATTCTGCTTGGTCTTGCTGAGGAGAGCTCTGCACATGTGCAAGGAGTACTTACGCAGACCATGAAACTCAGAGGGCTGATTTTGTAACATTAAAAATACTGCTAAAGATTGTCATGATAAGCAGCCCAAGTCCACTTAGATTCCTGAAACCACCTCCCAAGGTGGAATAGCTGAAGCAGCACAGCTATGAATCAATCTGTTTTAAACCAGATGATTGCTGAAGGTTTCAAGTCAATTCAACTCAAAGCAATGCTTACTGTCCAATATAAATAGGATTAAAAAATGAAGTCATTTGAAGATTATGGATCATTCCAAGCTAAATGTAGAACTAGATCTACGCACAATCAAATAATTGTGCAGCCATTAAATTTTATGGGAAAAAAAACATATTTATTGTTAAGGCCTCTCTTCTCTCCTCTCCATTTTAAAAATGCATTTATCTTTGTGAACACAATTTTAGCATGTGGATGTATTGTTAGCACTATTAAAAATACCAGTGCAAATATTTAGTTCTTCAATTACTGAACAGCAGAATTTTTTTTAAATAGAACAGGAATAGGCTAAAACGTAATGCAACTTTAAGATTTACAGCTGAGTCCTGTCCTGGAACAGCAACTCAGACCCTCCCACTCCCAACGACAGAAGAAAACCACTTAAAACTTTCACTTTCATCCGTAACCCTCAAAACTCCTTTCTGCCACATTTATTTGAAAGACAAGTTATTACTAATAATGCTTGCATTTGATATAGCGCTTTGTCACGTCTTCGAGACGTCTCAAAGCACTTCACAGAATATAAAGTGAATTGACTGTATATTTTGTGGGAGAAAAGTGGCAGCCAATTGCGCACAGCAGGGTCCCACAAACATGGTTAACAATTGAAGTAACCAATTAATTATTAAGTAACTAAAACCTTTGCTGTTGAGGGGTGCATATGGATCAACTACAACTTGTTATCTTGCAGGAACCATAGGTTTAAAGGGAAAGCTCACCACAACCACCTTTTAAGAAATAACCAGTTTAAAATGCAGAAACAGCTGTTCCCCGAACAGACAAGACTGCAGGAAACATTTGCAGAATTGAACCCCAGTCATGCACTAGGAGGGCTGCCATATTGAAGTCAACCTAGCACTCACCATACTAAAGTTAAACTAGATGAAATGGTCTGCATATGGATGCATGACACTCACTTCAAATGCAGTTTAAATCCAATCTGAAATTCTGACTTCAGGGCTACGTTCCATACACACAACAAAAAGACAGCCAGATATCCAACTTGTAATTCTGACCTATCACATTATAAAGCCTACTGAGGTAGAAATGTAGCACTGACATTTATGAATGACAACTGTACAAAACAGAGCTTTACTTATCTGAAAGAATTAAATCAATTCAAATATGCTGCAAGATTCTATAATAAAGAGAAGTGCCCCGTAGCCCCACAACTGTCACTTCGGCAGCTATTACAAATACATTTTTACAATAGCTTGAGCATTTGGGACTTTGGATGGAAGTGCTGATGCATTAAAAAAACGTGTAGTATAAAATCAAGTTAGCGGATGAAAAAGTTTTTTTCGAATATTTAAACTGAGCCAATCAATCTACAAGATTGGTTGGCCTATTTCTTTAAAAAAAGCTGCCGAATACACCACATTTGGTGGTATAGCTAATCAACCCAATCACGGCAATTAAAGCATGGCGTATTCTAGAGTTTTTTGCTTAAGAAATATGCAATACGTATTTCAATGGGTCAAATCTACTTGAAACGTAATTTAAATAAACATGGGACCAAGGTTTAAGTTCAGTATTAATTGTCACAACAGATTTGTGCTTTATGAATAGGAGGTCAAACCAATCAAGAACAACAAGTTACACTTGTATAGCGCCCTTCACATCGGAAAAATGTCTCAGGGCGCTGGACAATCAGGGGTTTTGGAAAGCTGTATTTTGGGTACTATATTATAATAATACTTGCATTTGATATAGTGCTTTTCACATCTCCTGGATGTCTCAAAGCGCTTCACAGTATATTGAATTGACTATTTGTGGGCAAAACGCGGCAGTGTCACACAAACAGTTGTGGACTGAGTGGCCAAATCATTTTTTTTGGAAAGAATATGATCCCTGGAAAAGCGATCTGCCAAGTGACTAACAACCAGGTTCCTACTTACTGCTAGGTAAACAGAGGCTAGGTAAATAATAAACTATTATTGTTTACTACATACACTGACTTGCCTCAGTGCACTTGCGTTCCGCATACACTGCTTCCCCACAGGCAGGCATTAAAGATCCCATGAAGCTAATTGAAAAACGATGTTGTGAGCAACAGTCCTCCAGATTCATCATTCACCTAATCAGTGTTGGTAATTTTACTGATGCAAATAACTGCTGCATTCCTCTGAAAAGTCACTGTACTCCACAGCAATTTTTCTGAAGTGCTTGGAGATTGATGAAAGGAGTCAACAAAAATAAAAGTTCTTTACATTCTTGCTGAAACCCTTACCCAAACGACTCTTGCAGGACTTTTCTCACCAAATCCCCTCAGCCAGAAAACCAGCCTGACTAAGACATCATTATCCTATCAAGCCCACAAGTGGAGTCCAATTCCCAAAATCAGTTCTAGGAAATGCTCTGGATTTCTGTTAGTAAATATGATGGTACAGTATAATCATTACAGCTGATAAGATTACCTTTGATGAATTGTTTAAAAAAAGCAAACTCTCAAGAATAGACTACTGGTGGTTATCAAAGCGATATTTAAAATAGATTCACAGTTTAAGGAGAGGAAATCAGAGCATTGTGAGCAATCACAATATGCTTACAATATTTAAACCTCACAATGTGCATATTGAAACATCCGACTATTATCTGATGAAGTAAACTTCCTTGAGCTGTGCTATTAAGCAGAAAATTCAGATTATTGAGATGGCTAATGACTGCTTCCAGATATATGCGTTTCAAATACCCTATGCACTGGTTGGTTGAGAGGAAAAAGAAAATCATGCTCTCAGTCATTAATCTCAAATTACAGTCAGACTGCAGGTATGGGTAGACGTAGTGGAGGGGAGAGAAAAGGGACTCTTATAAATACATCCCTCATGAGTGAAAGGCAGGATTTTCTCTTCACCTTAGAATCGGCGGTAAATATAATCAGAGTGAATGGATTACCTGGACTTGTGCCAATTCTCTGGTCATGGGACATCAATTTTGACCCACCCTGAAACTATTAAGGTTACAGTTAACTGCTGAAAAAAAATCAGCAAAATAACCACAAAAGATTTATTCTAGCCGAGCCTGCACCAACTCTCCAGCAGAACATGGAGAAGATTTTTTTGGCTTGTGCAGGATAAACCTCAAAGCAGAAAGTTCCGTGAAAAAACATTATGATCTATTTCTGAAACCAGAACATGAAGGTTAGAGGCATTCTTCATGTATTTTTTTCACAATCTTCTCAACAATTCTTGAATTGTCCTATATCCCGGACCAATGCAGTTTGTGCTGGGCAGTCAGTTGAGGCTGAAAAGAAACCCGAGACTAAAAAAACCAAGCCTCCATATTAAGACACACCATCCTATTCAGACACCGGCCCCCCTATTAAGACCAACCTAACCCGGAAATACTACAGCCATAGTCAAACATTTTGAATATTTGATTGCTCGTGCACTACCACAGCTGGAAGTCATCCAAACCACATCTCAAGCTGATGTTCAAATTATGATAATAAATGTATTGAAAATCTTTTTGTGGTAATTTCAACTATATTTGGGAAGAAGCAAAAATGGGCTAGGGAGAATTTGTGTTATTCTGTATCCGAATAAAACTAATTCAATTAATTCGACTATTTCATTTAATTCAGAGTTCTATGGAGTGAGTGGATTAGTCTGAAATACAGAAGACTGAAAATAATTTAGGATTCCACAGATGTATGTTAACCATATATTATTCAATTGTTCAAATGTACAAAAGCAATGGAATTTGGAATAAGTGCTACAACAAATATTCACAAGATTGGAAACAAATTCTGATCAGTGGCTGAACCAAAGGCACATCTGGGAAAGAGGACGAAATCCAGCCCAGAAATATGAAACATTTACTGCTACATAAAAATCAGACATGTACAATTTTGAAATAACGGAGTCCTGAAGCTCCGTAATTAGAGCACTGGCCTCACAAGCGAGAAACCTGGGTTCAATTCCCGGCAGCGCAAAACCTTGGGCAAGTTTCCTTACTTCACACGCCTGATAATAATCCCTCAAGAGAAAAAAAAACAATAATACAATTGGTCTTCAATCCACGACTGTTTGTGTGACACTGCTGTTTGCAATTGGCTGCCGCGTTTCGCCTACAAACAGTCAATTCACTTTACAGTATATTCTATGAAGCGCTTCGAAACATCTAGGAAACGTGAAAAAAGTGCTATATCAAATGGAAAGATTATTATTATAATAAACCTAAAAGCATGCCAAATAAAATGGAACAGTACTGCTCCAAGTATGAATATACAATAATCCACTGCTTAAAAAAAAATCAAAAGTCTAGTGTGATTTTAACTGTATTGCTTTTATCCTAATTGTTTTCAACGGGTTTAAAACACAATGTCAAACATTACGTAGAAGGAAAGTAATGTCCACTAAAAAAAAATCCTAGGGCAATGGAATGAGTTAAAAATAATTTCCCACATTTTACACAGCATTAATTTAGTTGCTGCCCAGCATTAACACTGAGTTCATTTTTTAAATTAAAAAAGACGAGAGCAATAAAAATAACTCAATTTATTTCCATTGTGAGGAAAAGGATTTATATCTGAAAAGCAGCATTTTAGTAATAGCTCATTTGTTTTCCCAGGGAGAGAAGCTATTTGCTTCCAGGAAAGAATTTTTAATGGAAAATTAAGTCAAGACTAGAGATCTACCTCAAGTCTATTTACAAACTCTGTGTACAGTACTCCTTTTTACTTCAGTCATTTTCCATGCCTTAGTGTCTGTTTCATTCAATTTGCAGACTGCATGCAGCTCATCATCATGCTACTGAAAAGCCTGAAAACATTGCACGTCACAAGCTTACGCCAGCCTGCCACCAATCTGCAAGTCTGCGCTCTTGCAGCACCAGCACAGCAATCCTTTCCCGAAAAGCTTTCCGTCAATGTGTTCGCGCTGCGAGCTAGTCTCTGCACAAGTATTCGTTGCCATCAACAAGTTAAGGACATGACCACCAGCTGTGCAGCAAAGGTTTGGGCTTCAATTAAGAAATTGAACTGACAGAAGGAAATATTCGTTTTCATTCAGTCTCGGGGGAAAAAAATACTAGAGACCCGAGCCGGGGAAAATCAAAGCAGAGCAAGGGCAAAGCTTTGAGAGAAAACGGTACAGCTGGGATAGGTGAAGAATTGCTATGGCATTTTTGTTTTTGCCTCCAATTGGAAAACTCGCCATTGTCTTATTTCTAAAGAAAAAGAAATCCTTTTATGTGTTTTCAAAAGCTGCCTCTTCCACTGGAACTTCTTTCCAGCTTACTGCTTGAATAGTCCGAACAGAAGGACAGTTGAATGCAGTCTCCAATGTGCAGAAAAGAATGGGTAAGTGATTTCTTTTCAAATGGGATTTTAAAGCCCAGACGGGAGAGGGAAAATGTGTAAAGAAGAAAATGGTAAAGAGAAATAAAAAATATTCAATTTGATCCAAATAAAATCCTATTTTAAATTCAATCAGCTACCTTAAGCAGTTTTTGAGGGGGTGAGGGTGGGGGCAGGAGAGGAAAAAACGCAGCAGCGAAATCAACCACATATAATGATGAACTGTTTAGGCTAAAACCATAAATGAATTTCATTTCATTGCCACCTACAGGTTTGCATTCGAAGTGGCCATTGGGGGGGCCAACAGCAGTGGCACTGTGTGTGATGAGCATGTTGTTGAAAATGCCGCCTGGCTCCGGCACGGCATGTCCACCAAAATGCAGATGTGAGGAGATGCTCTTTTACTGTGATTCCCAAGGTTTGCAAAGAGTACCCAATAACATTGCCCGTGGGTCTATAGGATTGTCGCTCAGGCACAACAGTTTTGTTGAATTGCAAAATGATCAGTTTGCAAGCTTTGGCCAACTTGTGTGGCTTTATTTAGATCACAACCAGATTTCTGTTGTTCAAGAGGATTCCTTTCAAGGACTATTCAAGCTGAAGGAATTAATCCTCAGTTACAACAAAATTGTGCGTCTGCCTAATACCACCTTCAGCCAGCTGATTAACTTGCAGAATCTGGATGTGTCATTTAATCAAATCACTTCTCTACAACCAGAACAATTCCACAGCTTACGGAAACTTCAAACAATGCATTTACGCTCCAATTCACTAAGGACCATACCCATCAGGGTTTTCTGGGACTGTCGAAGCCTTGAGTTTTTGGATATAAGTAACAATCGTTTACGAAGTCTGGCCCGCAATGGTTTTGCAGGATTAATCAAACTGAAAGAGCTTCACCTGGAGCACAACCAGCTGACAAAGATTAATTTTGCTCATTTCCCTCGGCTAATCAGTCTCCAAACTCTATTCTTGCAATGGAACAAAATTAGTGTCCTGTTATGTGGAATGGAATGGACCTGGGACACGCTGGAAAAACTGGATGTAACTGGAAATGAGATTAGGACAATTGAACCCATGGTTTTCTTTACGACACCCAATTTAAAGATTCTTCTGTTGGATTCAAACAAGCTCACAACAGTGGATGCTCAAATAGTTAACGCGTGGAAATCCCTAACTCATATTGGTCTTTCTGCCAATATGTGGGCATGTAACAAAAGTATATGCGCTCTGGCCTCTTGGCTAAGCAATTTCCAAGGTCGGTGGGAGAACTCAATTGTCTGTGCTAGCCCAGAGCACACACAAGGCGAGGACATCTTAGATGCTGTTCATGGATTTCAAATCTGCAGGAATCTTTCAGCAGCCACCACACAAATAACCACAGGCTATACAGATGCTACACAGCAGCTGGAAGCTACTGAATATGTAACAAAATTAACCTCCATAGGCTCCAGTACAGAGGATACTGAAAACCCAACCACAGAAACAACAACTGCAGCAGCAGCCACAGCCGAAGACATCCCCGAGTTTGATAATACCCTCTTTACTCACAGGATAATAACTGGAACAATGGCTCTATTGTTCTCCTTTTTTCTCATTATTCTAGTGGTGTACATTTCACGGAAATGCTGTCCCCCTACCCTGAGACGTATAAGGCATTGCTCCATGATGCAACACCGCAGGCAAATGCGCCAAGCCAGACAGCCCATGGCAGATTTGTCTACACAAGTTCCCTACAATGAATATGAGCCCACCCACGATGAAGGTGCTTTGGTGATCATCAATGGTTACGGACAGTGCAAGTGTCAGCAACTGCCTTATAAAGAATGTGAAGTATAAATTACTGAGTTCATGTAACCAACATACAATTTAGGAAATGGGAAATCTGTGAGTAAAATACCTTCAACTTTGAACTATAAGATTGAATTTTTTATTTGCAGAATAAAATTACCAAATTTTGGCACTTGCTTTCTTACTGTAAATTTTACCTAATGTCATGAACTAAATTCAGCCTATATTTCTTTAGTCTGTGATTTGCTTTGGCCACTTAAGTTAAATTTTTTGTACGCTGTGCATTACTTATTACCAGAAGCAAATCCTGTGGACACAATTATTTCAAATATCGTCATGTAATGCTTTTTTTAAAAAAAAATGGATTATAACCTGCAGTTTTAAGTAAGCAGGGGATGTCAGTCACTTAAGATCAAATGTTGTGACTATGGTATCAGTTTTCTTCTCATCGTCCAAAAAGGAAAATGTATCCCAGCTGACCAGAACCTTACGATTAGTCAGCTATTGCGTTTGTGGTTATTCAGCGTTGGGCTCACTTTGAAATAGCAGCTTCCAACTGTTTTGATATAGCAGAAAACCAGAAGGATTTGAAAGATAAGTTTATGCTTAAAAAGTAAACTGGAAATGAAACAAGATAGGATTTCTGGACATTCCATCAACAGGGTAAGTGATGTTTTATTGGATTAACTGGTCAAAGCCTTATTGGACATATTAAGCAAAGCACCTTTGAAATGGATATTTGATTTCTATGCATTCATCAGAATTGTTAAGATTATTTCACCTGTACAATAAACTTCCTTTCAAGCTTATAAGAAAAAAGAACAAATTTGATGGTGAAAACTAAGATCAAAAATAGCAGCAAATTAATCAGGGCTGCTTACTGGGGGTGAAAATGCATTACAGAGGGAACCCCACTATATCATTGGGATCCAGAAATCCGAAGCCAAGTTATGAGCAAGCAACTCATTGATTAGTGCTTCTGGGTTCGTGACTTCACCAGCGCTGTGCATACGTGCAGAAATCCAACTAGCAGCCCTCACTGATGTACTGCACTGTTCTTGTGATGTGCAACCTAACCCATTCGTTGTGTTGCCATTTGTGACTTCCTGAGACAATTTTCATCCAGTTGTGCTTCTGCAAAATGGCAGAGTATCCATATGAAATCCTTCATTAAACAAATTTATAAGGAATAATGCATCAGAAGGATTCAAGGTGCTACCAAGTCAAACTAGAAATGGTAGTTCAAATGGACATTTATGGTAAATAGAATGGGTGATCAAAGCTGCTGTAGCACAGCTGGAGGAGAAGCAAGGCAACAGCACAGATGAGAGTTGGAAGGATGGCAGAGAATCAGCTGAATGTACAATGAACAAGATGGGGCAACATAAAGAGAGGGGAAGACAAAAATCAATGCCCCACAGAGAGGCTGCAGAAAGGAGGCAAAAGTCAGGGATGAGTAAAATGAACATGTAAAAAATAAACAGCCCCAAATCAAGTTCAGTGATAATGGATAAACAGCAGTAGGCTGAATTGCGGGAGAGCAAATGGAAGGGCTACAGGTCCACAAAAATCAAGAATGAAAGGGACCAGAAAGCAATATACAGTGAAATTAGGATAGAGCACAAGGGTTGGATATAAATGCACAAAATGCATGGCGTGTCTGTACACAGCTTATATAAGTTAGTCAATAACAGAGTGGCGCAAGTCATTTATGTATATTTTAAAATTTTACATAATTATGTACTGTATTTTAGATACAATAAAGCCCAAACCAATGTTTTGAGTTAGCATAAATTTTTCCTTGATCTCACCAACGGTTGCAACTTTTGACAGTTTGCTGGCAAGATTCAGAAGTAAGGCAAGCAAACGTGTTTAAATCAGGTTTACGTGTTAGCAACACTAACAGACCGAAGTCTGCAGCGGTCTGCCTGAATTGATAGGTTAACTCAGATAGGCCAGAAAGGTAATGGTGTGGAACACCGACAATGTCACAGGCACATTAGAGACGTGTGCTTACATTGGGATTAAGGTCTGTGTTTAGAGAACATGTGGAGCTTGATCTTGCTTCGCCTAGATTTGATCTTGGAGTGAATTATGCTAAGGCTGGGTGCAAAAAAAGAAAAAATTCAACTAGATTGGGCTCATATTAATGATTCTTCACTACCAGTTCTTTGAATAGTAGTTATTTTTTGAATTCTAAATTTACATTGAATGCATTAATTTTCTAGATTTGCATTTAATGNTTTTTCCTGGGCGTCATATTGGTTGTGTAAAACAAAAGCAACTTCTGACAACTACCTCCAGAAAGAACAAGGAACACATATGTTTTATCTACAGATGCACACTTACAACTGACAAATGATCTATTCAACGGTTGTAGTTTCCCCCCCACCCCATGGAAGAAAAATGGCCAGCTTTAATTGACATTTCTGTAAATGTATAAAGAACTTCTGTAAGTGCCTAAAGAAGGCTAATGGCATGTTGGCATTTATTGCAAAAGGGTTAGAATGCAAGAGTAGGGAAGTCTTGCTGTAACTGTATAGGGCCTTGCTGAGACTGCACCTAGAATGTTGTATGCAATTTTGGTCTCCTTATTTAAGAAAGGACATACTCGCCTTAGAGGGATGCAGCATAGATTCACTAGGTTAGTTCCTGGGATGAGGGGATTGACCTATGATAGGTTGAGTAAACTAGGCCTATATTTTCTAGAATATAGAAGAATTAGGGGTGATCTTGTAGAAACATAAGATTCTTATGGGGCTTGACAGAGTAGACAGTGTGAGACTGTTTCCCCTGGTAGGAAATCCATAACTAGAGGTCAGTCTTAAGATTAAGGGTCAGCCTTTTTGAACCAAGTTGAGGAAACACTTCTTCGCTGAGAGGGTAGTAAATTTATGGAATTCTCTATCCCAGAAGGTGGTGCTCATTCCTTGAACATATTCAAGACTGAGATTGATAGAATTCTAAAGGTTAGAGGGATTAAGGGATGTGGGGATAAGGCGGGCAGATGGAGTTAGGTTAGAAAATCAGCCATGATCTTATTGAATGCAGGGCAGGCTCGAGGGGCCGAATGGCCTACTCCTGCTCCTAATTCCTATGTTCCTATGTCTATATAACTTAAGACCACCTTTTCCAATCATCTATAGCACTGAAGATGAAGATCATTGTTTTTCATGGGCTAAAATAAAGTGATCTTGATGAGCATCAATCTTGGACATAATGTTCACAATAGCTTGCAGATCAATTTTAATGCTCATCAGAAAATCAAAAAAGAACTTTCAAAATGGGATTTCCAAAGCTCAGATACTACTCACTAGTAAATGGATACTACTCACTAGTTGCTTCCCATATAGCTTAGTTGTCAAAAATCACTGAGGAGTCACCCAAGCCAAATGTTCTTTGGTTCTCTCACCAATTTTGACTTCAGCTGTGGCAGCAGTAAAACTCCTACTTAATGTCCATTGGCTGGAGCACAGAGAATGAGCCAAGGATCGCACTGCTGGATCACTATCCAATGAATTTCTTTATAAAATCTTTATAAAATCTGCATGTATAGTTGGTGGATGAGGGAATTGAAGGATCGGGTGCTGATGTAATGACCCCACTAATGTTCCATACTGTCACCTATTAATAGCAACTTTTGTTCCACTGGTGTCAATCCTAACACAGGATGAACACCTTCAGGCGAACAATTTCAGAAGGGAACACTGAATTTAGAATAGTGAAGAAGATTCAATTCAGAATGGTTTGTAATTAAATAACTACTTTTATTAGGCAAAACAGGAACCATTTATTTGGGCTTTTAACAACATTATTACATCTTGAATATTCCAATTTTAGTGCCTGTACTTTAACAGGATTCATTTGTATTATTATTTTTAAGCAGTCCTGATAAGATTATTAATCAGTGTAGGGAACATATGAAATTAAACCAGGATACCTGCAGCAATCAATCAGCATGTCCCCTGCACGTCTTCCATCAAAGGCTCAAACGTTTTGATCTGATTCAATTGTAGATTTAAATTTCCAAACAATCTGTTTATTTTTGTTTTGCAACTTCCCATTTATAATCAAGTAAGAGGGCATAGAATTTTCTACATTTGCTAAACGTTAGCATCCATTAATAGAATTGTTTCATTTACAAGTACATTCATATTGCATCTTTCACATCAGGAAGATGCCTCAAAGTGCTTAACAATGCTATATCAGCACCCAAGCGAGAGGTGGGAACTGATAGGGGTGAGGAGGACTTTATATAATTACTAAATTGTTATAATGCTTCAAATTGCTGTATTTGTATTGCTTGGCAGGTTCTAAAGCAGCAAATTAACTTTAAAATGGCTACTTTACTATTTTGCTGGGGACAGGGTAGTGTTCAGAAGCTCAGTTTACCAACAACATAACAGTTGCCTTTGGCTCTAAAATTGCCCATTTGTTGATGCATGCAGCCTTAAGTGCCACCTTGTTTAAACTGACAGTTTCTTAACTTTCATTTGATAAACAAGTGATTTGAGAGAGTTATTCATCCAAAACCCAAAAGATCAGAAATGAGAGAAACTTATCATTTACTTTCTGGTAAAATTGAAGGTAAGCCTCTGTATTTTGTTAGTGGAAAGGTAAAAATTAGGAAAAATTCAATGTAAGGAGTTTAAGAAACCCATTTCAGAAATGATAGTCTGTAGACAAAAGCAAGTTTTGTAATATAAAATGCTAATTAATTCTACAATTGATCAAAATTCATATTTTTGTGGATATTCTGTCAAATTATAGTGTGTTGAACAATGCAAAGTTAATTGATCAATAAAGTTCCATGAGTAATAGCAAGTTTTATAAAAAACAAAAATCCTTGTTGAAACTACAAGAGATGAATGCGTACCTTAATGCCCTTTAAGTGTTGTATGAAAATCACATTACCGTCAATTTAGTTTAATTGAATGACCATCAATTTAGTTATTTAATTGAAATTTATAATAGATATGTAGAATATCTTTCTTTAAAAGCAACAGACATAAGACATTCCAACACCAGCAAAGAGTAACCAGGATTTGAATGACTGACAAATTATATTCGAACATTATCCACCTT